AGTAGACAGTTACCTCTGTGCGAGAAGAAAATTTTAGAAGTTTTTTGAAGATCTTGAAGGTTGACCGGAAAACTCAAGGAAACTCGAACGGAAAAGTCAAATGCACGGCGGAGCTCTCGAAGATGTGAAGAAAATGCACTTTCTCTCTCTAAAAGCTCTGACCTCTCTCTAGAAAATGCAAAGTTGTAAAGTAGAAAAATGAAGTCAAACAACTCCTATTTATAGGCAAATTTATGGGGGCAAAATGGTAAAATTACTTTCTCCGCCTAGAAGCTCAAATGGTTAACTTTTGAAAAATTAACCTAACGGTTAAATTATCTTTCCCGTTAATATAGACGGGGAAGACGTACAGTTTCCCAAACGGCGCGTTAAAATAGACGGCCAGGTCAGAAGCCATTGGCCCAAGAAATGCAGAACAGGTGCCCCACCTGATACCATGCAGCACCATTCGTCCGACTGACTTCAAGACTTAAAGTCCATTAATGAAATCAAGTGGACTGATTAAGGCGGATAGCCTAAAGGAATAATCCCATGACCAGACGGACGGAACAGTCCGCCTCCTTTTTAACGATGCTCATTCCGCCCGATATTCGAACAATACTATATGAGTAAAGATTAGAGGACGCGACCCGTGGGGTATGAGCCACCCCTCTGAGGGGAAAATGTTAAGGGTAAAAATACTCCTGACATGTGGCCCAACCAAATAGTGACACGTGGCCTAATAGATGGGCGACACATGTCAATACTGGAGCACCTGAATGAGAGAAAAGCCTCCACTTGTCCTTGCCTGATGGCGCCGCCAATTAAAGCATACCATTCTAGGTCATCAAACCCTAGATAGCACACATTCCAACCTCTATAATACCCCAATCATTTATGATGGGAGGGGTAGATTAAGACATATCATTCAAGAGTATTAAATTGCTCCAACTTCTCTCTACTTTCTCTCTCTACATTACTTCGTTTTTTGGTCGCTAACTTGATCGTCGGAGGCGAATATTCCGTCAAGCAGAATATTCATTATTTTGCAGGAGTCTAAGACCGTCTGGCTATATTCAAGACCTGTGTCTGTTGGATTTCGTGATGTCCAACATCACGCGGAAGGAAACCCGCCCAAAATCCGCACACAAATTAAAGTAACTAAGCATGTATTAAAACCATAATCACATGATTAACAAGAAGAGAGAGAAAAAATCATTACCCATGAAGCGTGCTTTGCTCTCACTTAGAGCTCGGACTTGAAAGCATAGAGTCCCGCAAATGCGCGAACCTCCGACGGCTAACGCCCTCGCTCCCCGAACCGAGCCGACCCTTACCCCAAAGCTTAGTCGGGGCTAGGCCAAAATGACTTAGAGTATTAGAACAAAGGTTTTCTCTTCTTGGAGATCCCTTAAAGTTCACCAACTCAAGTGCTCTTTCCCAATGCTAAATGATTGGTATTTATAGGGAAAGGAGCCCTTGAAATCCCATCTCCCATAAATGTGGGAGAGTTGAAAAATGCAATATGGAATTTAAATTTAATTCTAAATTAAATTAAATATCCAAATGGATCACCAAACAACAAGTGACATGAGGAGTGCAAAGGGTTAGGTTAGGACCACAAGGGGGGGAAATCCTCCCCTTACTCCCCAAGCAATCCCATAAGCCACTCCGTACACACGCCCACACGCATCACCCCAGCTGGTGTGGCCTGCCTTGGGCGCCAAGGCTGCCTCGCTGGCGGCCTGGCCCCTAGGCTGGGCCTACAAGCTGGTTGCGTGTGCGTGTAGCCTAGCAAGCATGCCTCGCATGCATGCGGGCTGCTGTTGAGCGTGTTGTGCACTGCTACCGTAAGCTCAGCTTTCGAGCTGATGCTGCTGTGCTGGTTCCTCGCACAAGCCCGCGGCAGCGTGCCACGCATATGCGGGGCTGCTCGCTGCTGGGTGTTGCTGTTGTGCTGCGTGTGCCTAGGCATGCTAGCTTGGGTAGCCAACGCTAGCAGCTGCTAGCAAGGCCCGGTGCGCTAGCTTGCGGCTGGCCTTGCTAGCACTGCTAGCGTGCTTTCTCGGCGAGCAAGCCCCACCCAGCACTCGAGTAGGGTTGCTAGGCTTACGGCCTTGCTAGCGGCTATGGCTAGCAGCCCTTTATAGCCTAGCCCTCGCTCGGCTAGGCCAACACGAGGCTAGGGCTATATTTTAACTTGTTTTTTGGTTGATTTCTCGTCTTCGTCGATTCCTAGAATCGACTCCACTTATGACGTTCGGCTTCAACGCTCCAAGCTCCGAATCCGACGTCTTTGTTCGTAAATACTCTATTGACTCATTTAATCCTTTGGATTAATTTATCGTTTCGGTTCGGTTACACGATTGGGTGTGATCCAAAGGGTTCAGTCAAGATTAAGTTGTAATATTAATTATGCTTTAATATTACTGATCGGAAGCGGCCTCCAGTTAGGCATTCCGATCACTTGACCTCACTGAATAATTAGATTTCTAATTAATTCCGAACCCTCTATCGAAATAATACACTTGTTCGAAGGATACCATTCCTTTCAGTGTTCCGAGGAATTCCAGAAAACCCCGAAACAACAGCTACCTATTAAATTTTTTTTTTTCTAAAAACTACCACAAAGTTGTAAAAATTTAACTAGCACTACCACTCTAACATTTCCGGCTAAAATTTAACTAGCAAAACCGCCCCCCTGGCCTTCCCTACCCCGGAAAACAACCCCACTCCCTTCCCCAACCACTAAAACCGTCCCCTCTTTCCCCCCCTGTGCGGTTTCAGTGGTTAGGGAAAGGAAGGGGTAGTTTTAACGACGTAGGAAAGGGAAAAGGGCGGTTTCTAAACAAAGTCACAAAAAATTGGGATAGAAGTACATATATAATCTAAGAAACTACGAAGTATGATTAATCTTCTATGACTAGTTTATTCTAACATAATTTGCACATCTTAACACACAAGCTAATTGATACTCCCTCCGTTTTATAATAAGCGCAATACTTTAACTACCATATATGTCAATGTACAACTTTGACCATACCATTAATATTTGTAATTATATATTATTAAGAAATTTGAAAAAGTTAATACGGAATATTATGAAAATATACATAAAAGGTTAATCCAAAAGTATTTTATATGGCAACATATGTATTTTATATATTCGTAAAAAGTATAGTCAAAGTAAGCAGAGGAGCGACGGAGAGGGGAATGAACGGAGGGAAAAGAGGAAAAAAATAAAAGATAACTGGGGTTAAGTGGGTCATGTGAGGTGCACATGCTAGTCAAACCGGAAATGTAAGTTAATCGTCGAAATCCGGGGAGGGGTGGGACTTAAACAAAAAATATTTAAAACAGTTGTGCTTTGACCCAAAAAAAATTATTATAAGATGATTTTCAACAAAATTTTATTTTTACAAGATTGTTTTTAACAAATTTTTCTAATTATTAAATACTCTTTTTTCACATATAAAACTGTAAAAGGTATTACCAACTAACTTACCAAGCTTAATTCTGCTGCTTCATATCCTCTCTTCAATTTATTCCGTCCAACTTATACAATTATCATCCACCTTCATATTCCGTCCAATTTATTCTCACATATCAAATAATCATAACCAAATCCTTCACATAATTTAATTTATCAAGTCTTTGTCAACACATTATTTCGTCTCACATGACTAGATCTCATGCTTCTAGTTATATTAATCAATATTCCCTATTTCACACATTACATTATAATTCCGAACGATATGAAAGCCTAATCATGAAATTTTTTGGATTCGATTATCAAATCTTTTGCATAAAACTAATAAAGAATAATACAAAGGAATATTATTTGTATTAGCATGTACGTATTATGTATAATCGAATTTTTAAGGTGATTATATATATATATATATATATATATATATATATATATATATATATATATATATATATATATATATAACCTACTTCCTCCAAATTCGATCTATAGTTCATTTGTGAAATTAGAGCTGTCAAAAACTAACCCGATTCGAGAAGCCGATCTGAACCGACAATGATCTAAACCTGACCTCTACCTGAACAATGGGATGAAACTAGTGACCTATAACCCGACTTGAACCCGACCTAATGTTAACCGACAACCGATTTGATCCAATAGTTTATGACCTAAACTCGAACCTGCACCCGACCTGATAGTAACCGTCAACTGATTTAATTCGACCCGACAACAATCTGAACCCGAACTAGTACTCGACCCAATTAGAACCTGAAACCGGTTATAACCCAACACAACCTGTTATTGACTCGAGTCATAGAATGTTTAATAAAATTTTATATACCTTTTGTTCAGCTTATATATTGGTACAATTCTGGTTAACTCTCATTCCTAACAACATATTGGTACAATTTGTTCAGTTTATATACCATTTGTTCTCTATTACTTCATATATAGGTTTAATAAAATCTTGATAATGCTTGATCAAATTATGGAAGGCGTAATTATATAGGTTCAACTTGACCACATCGATATTTATTCGAATTGAACTTGAACCAAAACCAAAAATGATCTATCTTTAAGATTATCCGACCAAATAATTATCTGGCCCAACCCTAACTTGAACCCGAATGTACCATCTATTAAACCACCCAAACCCGACTCAACACAACCTAAACCTGGAATTGAACGTGACCTGAATTTGACTCGAATCGAACCCAACCTACACCCGAAAGCGTGAACGACCCGAAATAACCTGAACCAAAATTGATCCGACCCGGACCTAAACCTGATCTGAGGTTAGATTGACTCGACATAACCTGATCTTGATTTGACCCGAGACCTGATTTGACCTGACCCGAACCCGACTTGAATACCCGAATTAACAGCTCTACTCCAATATTTTACATATATCAATGTGTGACCATATTAAAATCATTAATTTATAACTTTAGTTGTAATATTTGTCGACGTTCTTATATATAGATAAACGTGAAAAGGCAAATGGTACGATTATTAAAAACTAAATAATATAATAATATTTGACTTTTAAAACTTGAATATTAGTCAATGATATAATTTTGCCAAATTGCATGCCTTCAATATTCAAATTTATGGTAATTTAAAAACAATTTTTAACGTTAATTTTATTCGACTCTTACAATCAAAATACGGACTAAAAGAAACCAAAAACAAATGTTCAAAAAAAGAAAACAAAAACAATATTTTCTAAACAATACTTGTGTTCAAGTCAAATAAGATCAAGTAATCAAATCATACCAAAATCACTTACTCTATCCATCCTAATTTAGTAATTTACCTACTTCGTTTTTCAATTTAGGGATTTTAACCTACTTGATCCATTTTATTTACTATATAATTGGCCTTATACAACTCTACCTTTTATCTTTTTACCTTTATCACTAACATAAAACCTACACATACGTATTTAAAACGAGTCGAGTAAACTAAGATGAACAAGGTAACACGACCCTTGCTAGTAAACATGTATTATTATCCAAATGTTGGACAATATATATTAACATTAAATTAAAATCCACCGTCAACAATAAGGATACGTGTTGTTTGAAGATCATCAGTAATATATTAATGGCGAACTCAAAATAAAAAAATAAAAATAAAAAAAATAAATAAAAATCTCAAGATTAGTATCACCGCCGAAGGTTTAGGAAGGCAAACCGGTGGCTACTATATTTGAGGGATATGCCTTTTTACTCCCTTCTCTCCACAAATTTAGCGATGATTATGCTCATTTATTCCGTTTTTCACGTGCTCTTCAAAGATTCCAATCTTCTATTTTACTTTTTTTTTTTTTTTTTTATAAAATTTTCAGCGATTTTCATGTTATACCGTCGGACTTTTTTCAACATTTTCCCTTTTTTTTCCTCCTAGCTGTATCATACCTGTCCTTTCTCTCTCTCTCCTTTCTCTCACAAACACATTGTGAGAAGATCAGATTTAGAGAGAAAACAAACAAAAAAACATTAAACAAAAAAACAAGGGAGATTTTCCTTGTGCATTTTAGCAGATTCTCAGCCAAAAGGAAAAGGGGAGAAAAGATTTTAATGAGCTGAAAAAGGATGTCATATATCTTATAACATATATATATATATACTCTCCCCTTAATTCCTAGTTTGTGCTGTGTTTTTTTCTTAAAAATTGAGGTTGTAGTGTTAGTATATCTACACACATTGTTCTTTTCTATCATCTATTGCGATAAAGTTGTGTATATCTGAACCTTATTGGTCGTCAACTAGATAGACAAACATCCCTTGAGTGGGAATTGGGAAGGAACAAAGGATATATAGAAATGGCACAATTACCTCCAAAAGTTCCTAACATTATACCCCAGAATTCTAGTCATCAACAACCACAACAACAATGGCAGGAATTCAAGCGCCCTCATAATCAACCTCAGCAGCAACAGGAGCAGCAGGAGGCGGGGCAGAACCCGCCTTGGGTAGACGAGTTCATGCAGTTTTCGGCAGTTAAGCGAGGAACACACCGGAGGACGGTGAGCGAATCGTCTGTGGCATTTGTCGAGGCGGGGGCAGTACCATTCTTAAACGGCCCGTTTCGTCCACCAGAAACATTAACAGGGAGGAGTAAAACAAACAATGATGAGGAGTTTGATAAGTTCGACGATGATCAATTTATGTCTATGTTTAGTAATGAGTTAGGAGGGTCGTCTTCGAATCCGTCATCGACTTCGGATCATAACAGCACGAATGAGGATCAAAAGAGAGGGATAACGAGAAAAGGGGAGCAGGAATTAGGAGGTAGAGCGAGGGTGGAAGACGGCGAAAAGGCGGAAGAGGTAGAGAGTTTGCGTAAGTTTGATAAGGAAGAAGCACAAATTGGTGGTAATAAAAAGGGTGGCAATGTAGCTGCTGCTGCTGCGGGTGGTGGTGGTAATGATAATGATACTGGTGTTGTTGATGCTGATCAGCAACCTGTGGTTGATCCAAAGAGGGTTAAGAGGTAAGCTTCATGATTACTATCTTTTGCATAAATTTAATTGAACTTTGAAGGTTTAATGATTACTGAATTTATAGAAAATAAATTTAAATGTTGATTTAAAAAAATATATATTTATCATTCTTATTTAGTTTACACATTTTGATTTTGGACATTATTTATATTTACTACTTTAACTGATATTTGTGATTTATAAATATGACTAAACATAACGATGTATAAACTTGTTAAATTCCTCTCAGTATATAATTTTCAAAATATCACCTTACAATAATTCTTACTACTCCGTAACTTAGAACAAAGGAAATAGAATGCTTCTACTTAACGTGTACTATCTAGTGTTCATAGAGATTTTTTATACTTTCTCCATTTCTGAACAAACATGCCAATATAAATGATTAATCATTTATATATGAAAATATACATTAATTATAAAATGTTGATATTGTTATAATGTATATGTATATATCAATTGCTATATTAACAACATTTTTTATGGTACCTTTTAAAAGTTTTAAATTATTATAAAATCTTGGCTAAAGTTAGTAGATAAATAATGCAAAAAGTCGAATTTTAATGAATAGTATTGAGATGATTTTAAACAGTTAGAATTTTGTGCAAATATGTTAAACCGTAAAAAGTCAATATTGAATATTCCCTCCCTGACCATTTTAAGGAGAGGGAAAACAATTTTCAAAATTTAGTTCACATTCACAAATTTGTGTATTCTTTCTCTACCGGACAATTTTTTATGTGAAAAAATAAATAAATAAATAATAAATAAAACAGAATACTGGCAAATCGACAATCAGCACAAAGATCAAGGGTAAGGAAGCTGCAGTATATATCAGAGCTTGAGCGCAGCGTTACTACTTTACAGGTTAGTACCTCTAACTCTAACCTTCTCTGTACACACTTTTAACATCCTCGCTACACCCTTAATGTGCGTGACACTTGAAATCGGGACGAACCCCTTGGCCTTGACAGCCGTCTGAGCTACCCACATAGTCACATACATATTGCCTTGCAATCCTAGCATGTCATTGTCTAGCAATTAAGTATTTATCACTGATTTGAGCCTCTTCTATTGTTCGACTTTTACTGCATCGCAAAAGAGTGAGGTATCAGCATTGTCCCCAAGGGTTGCGTTCCTGGATCACCAACGCATGATTCTAAACGTAGACAACAGCACTCTCAAAGCCAAGATTGCAGCTCTTGCCCAAGATAAAATCTTCAAAGATGGTAAGTTTAAATGTTTAGTATAAACAATGTATCATAAGTTCCGAGACACTTCTCTTCCTAACTTAACCTTGATACCAAATCGCTTCAATGAATGGCAGCTCACCAGGAAGCAATGAAAAGAGAAATAGAGAGGCTGAGGCAAGTATATTACCAGCAGAACCTAAACAAGACGGAAAACATTGTTCCGCTGCCTACATCCTCATCTTTGCTACCAACAACCACTCAGCCCCAACCACCCGACACCACAGTTCATAAGAATGAGCAGCTTACAGGTTAAAAAAGAATGTATTCTTTCAGTATACTGTACTATACCTCAATGATGAGAGACTTCATGTCAGAAATTCTTTGTACAGAACAATGTAAAAATGTTCCTTTGGTTTCTCCTTGTAACATAGATATGATTCTCTCGCATGCAGATGAAAATGCTGATTCCAACATGCATTATAGTAAGCAGGGTAATTTAAATATACAGCTTATTAGGAGTAACAGTTTAAAATTAAGCTACCACTCCATAGTTGATTACTATCTTCAATTACTGAGAAGATTAGACCAAAAATCGAAAGCTAGTTAAAATTTAATCACCAAGGATGTTAGGAAGTACAAAACAGAAGATGTTATATGATATATGCCTAGAAAGCAAGGTTATAAACGTTCTCCGCAAATCAGAGCTCCGAGGCCTCCAACACAACACACACTGTGAATCTCAGCTACTCCCAAAGTCCCAAGAGTAGCATTGATCATATACAAAGGACAGGATAAAATGTCAAATTTCAAGTTATTCTGCTTTTCTATTTCAAGGAAATCCAAAACTCAAACTGGCAAACCCATCAACTAATACAATACAGAAATATCAACAATGAAATGAAGTACCTACTAAATTCAAACTGGGTGAAAATGTACAAAACAACTAAAGCATGTCTCATTCACCAGTTTAGCTAAACAACATGACAAAGAAAATTTACTCAATGCTTTCTCACAAAATTCTTTATAAATGGCAAAGCAAATAAAATGCACAAAACAATGACCATTCCAAACATATGCATCCAAAAACCAAACCATTAAAAAGATAGTACTCGCCGGTCTTCAATCAATCGACAAACCAAGTAGGCAAAGCAGTAATATGGGACTCTGTCACAAACAGTAATTTGTATTTGGCATACACCATACATAGATAAATGACAAAATCACAACATAAACAAACTTTTCGAAAAGTTTAGAGCAGAAGAAAACATCTTGGACAGAATTAAGAAGGAAAATTATTGAAATTACAGAGGATTTTCCTTTGAGTCTCCTCTATAATGTTGATAAAACTGGAAAGGGAAGTAAAGGCTACGTCAGCAAAAATAATCACACAAAACCCCTTCTAATTTCGCTGATGCAAAGATGTGAAGACACATTTATGCTGATGGCAATGCACCAAAATGGAGATTAGACAATGTCAACGGTACAGGTAACAATCAAAATGAATTTTTAGGCGATAGTCTAAATTTTGTCCAATATGACAATTTAAAGTAAAATTCTCCTGAAAAATGACATCAGAACGATACAAGTAGTGACCAGGTGATATAGTGAATTTTTAGATCATTAGATGTTCAGAACTCAGAAGGAAAACTTTGGATATAGGAAGATAAAAGAAGGGATCATATAGAACTTTTCAATCACGGGTTTCAAGACTTGTTCTTAAGAAAATGCCAAAAAGAATGGAAACAAGGATATGCAAGCAATATCACAAGGAATGATTCTGAGGGGGGGAGGGGGGGTGGTGGGAATTGGGGGAGAGAGATGGGGGATTATTCCAGTAGTAATACACACTAGCAATTTAATTAGCATTGATATTAATCATATGGCAAGCCTGAGTTGCATACGTAAATATGACAATAGGTAGATCTGTTGCAACAGCCATTAGTACTAGGCATTTACATATTCCTAAACAGTGGCGATTTTCATACTAGCGAAACAAAGACACTTGATAGAGATACAGCACCTTTTCTACATCACCTAACAAACCTTCCATCATTTTGAAGGACCTTGCAGCTTAGTCTGAATATTTGCTGGCATCGCTCGCTTCCTAAAACGATTTTTCAGTAGTTCGATTTCCTTTTTAGCATCCATAAGCCTGCTATCTTGAGACTGAAACTTTGCCAAAACCTCAGTGTCCCACTTCACTTCAAGATCTTCTAAATTTTTCCAATAAGTTTCCTCAATTAGATTGCACATCACCTTGTTTTCTTCATCTTGCTTCAATTTCTCTCTCTCCAATTCCATGACACTTTTGACAACACCGCCAAAACCAGCATCTTTATAGATTGGTTCATCAGGTACTTGGCAACGCTTCCGGTAATCAGCAAATGCCTTTTGGGTTTGTTTTAAAGCCCTGCGATAACCATCTATCACACTGTTCATCAGATAGAGCTCCCTATCACGACGATTGACTTCTGCCTGTTTGCTCCTCTCTAGATCACTAAGCTTGTAATTCAACTGCATAATCTCACAGTCCTTTGCAGATAATTGCTGCTCCATATAGTGCTGTTGAGCCATACTTGCTTGCTGGTCTGCATTTTTCTCCGTTGCACGGATTATTTTAGCTTTCTCAATCCAATATTGTAATTGATCCACACAATAGTTAAATTCTGGAGGTTTATCTTCCCAATTGCCATCAAGTCTCATCCTCTTATTATTACCATTTAGCGCATGGTGAGAAATGTCATGATCATTGTCGATCTCCCTCTTACCAATATGATTAAACATGGAAGGGGCACCGATCATCACATCATTATCAGCAGTAGATGCCAAGAGCTCTAAAGAAGACTGACCCCCAAGTTCAGTTGAATAAGGCAGTTGCCCTGTTTGAAATGCTTGTATGAGATTTGTTGAAGTCATACCATTCAATGGACTTTTTGGCATGATATTGAACCCTTCTACATGTCCATCCCCATCAACTTCATCGTCTTCTACATCTTCAGAAACATCCTCAAATCCTCTAACTTCAGAGACATTTGCCCCGGCCATACTACAACGCTGCAAAAAGTTCTGGCCCCCAATTTTATTATTTAAAAACCACTGCCCCTGACCTTGTTCTTCTCCCATGTCATCCTCAAATCCCATCATGTCCTCACCCTTATTCTCCTCCCTGGAATTCTCAACATTGTCAATGTGATCAACATTTTCAATGTGATCAAAATTTTCAACATGATCAACATTTTCAATGTTATCACCATTTTCAGCATTCTCAATACTTTCCACCTTGTTACCCTCATCGACACCTCCAGAAATCCAGTTAATATCCTCTTCTTTTGCTTTTTCGAAATCCTCAACCTTCTCCACCTCACCAGCAAGACAGTCATTATCCTCCTTTACTTCACCAGCATCACCAACACATTCCACAGAAGCAGCACAATCCTGGCCAAGCCTCAATTCAATATTTTGATCCTCCACCTTCTGCCCTGCACTAGCTGACTTCTCAAAGTCCATCTTCACATCACCACCATCTTCATCATCATCCACGGTAACAGCCTCCTCCAAATTTTCACCTTCCATCTTAACTTTTTCCACCTCCATGTTTGGAGACTCCCTAAACAATTCCTCCTTCTGCGCCTTGATCATGAGCTGCAAATGCGATGCATAATAACACTCCTTCAAGCTGGTCCGTTGCGCCAACTCCTTATCCACCATAAACCACATCAACCCAGCCCAATCAACCTTCTGAGGACTCCCATCCCTTATCAATTTTGTCCATCCCACAATCTCCTTTGGCATACACCACAAATCCTCATCCTCATGTAAAATCATCCAATTCGCCACAAACTCATCCAGAAACGTCAGATATTCCGCCGGAAAACTTTCCCCTTCGCAATCCAGCTTCTTCGGTAATTTCAATGCCCGCCCCAAATCAGCCCTACTAACCCCAATCCTAGATTCATCAACATAACTACATCGATTTTTCGGGTTATAACTCACAATTAACTTCCCAATCAAATCAACCCTAATATTCCTATCAAATTCAATATGAGCAAAATCCCACAACTCCAACTTCTTCAAAAACTCCTCATACCTCGAAAAGTCAAGAACTTTTCGAGGAACAAAAGGAATAGGCTTAAAACCTTGAGACAATTGCAGCATTTTCCTCTCCAAAGCAATCTTACTAACATGATTATTCTTATTCCCCTTCTTCCGTTTCGATGTACGACGAACGGAAGCAGATGGGTTATTACTACCCTTAAATTCTTGCGCAATAGATTGAGTTTCAGACGACATTGAAGGATGATGAGGAGAAACAGAGACATTCATACCTTCTGCCTGATCATTCTCGGGTTCGGGCTCGGGCTCGGGATCATCCTGAAGGTCTTGATCATCATCTGCAACATGGGGTTCTTCAGATTCTTCTTGAGGTTGATTAGATGGGTTTTCTGGAGGTGGGTTTTGAGTTTCAGGGGTTGAAGGTTTAGGATTCTGAGATGGGTCCTCAGATTCAGGGTTAGGGCTAGGGTTTTGAGATTCTGACTCTTGCGATTCTTTTGGTTGTGGTTGTGGTGGTGATGATGGTGGTTCAGGTGGCGGTGAATCGGGCATTTTGAATTGTGATTTATGAAGATTGAGAGAGAGAGGGGAATGCAAGCAGTTATGGAAGACTTCTTTGGTAAAGTATGAGTAGAGAATAGAAGAAGATGAAATCAGTCCAGTGAACGTTTTGACTTCGCATTGAGAATAAAAGAGAGATTTTTTTTTTTCTTTTTTTTTTTTTGTTGGAAGAGAGGGGCAACCGGGCGAGGCCCCTAAAGGCTGCCATCGATTTTTATCGATTGTAAGGGCTCAAATTTTTCTTTAATTTAATGTTTTAAGTCAATAAAAATCACCAACAGTATAGTGATTATAATCAGTCACTCGATGTAGGGTTTAGTCAGTCCCTCCATGTAGAGTTTACTATTATTTTTTTTAGTGTGTGCAGGGATACAAATTTAAAAGATTCGTCTTACAAATTTGTGGAATTGTGGGTATGTTGGTATAGGGGTGTAAATTTAGAAGATTCGTCTTGCAAATTTGTAGATCTTGATGACCAATCAAGTTTTATCACTTTTGCGACTATACATTAATGGAGTTCCGTCAAAAACGATGCAAAGATATCTAAAATTATCCAGGAGCAGTTCAGAAGCGATGCCATTAGTTTAGGGGTGTTTAATTCTTGTATTGAGAATTTAGATCTCTTAAGGGATGATTGTAAGTGTCGAATGACTATTATTATTTAATGAAATCACCCCTCCTTCCATTCAAAAAAAAAAAAAAAAAAAAAAAAAAAACACTAAAATGAAAACAAACAAAAACAAGAAACACAACCAAACTAACAGGATGCCATAACGGCACTAAGTTAAGCTAAATTATTAGCCAGTATTCTACGAGGTAACGCAACCACCCCCCATGTCCTCCAATAAACTACATGAAGATCCTTCGAGATCGCCTCAAACAAGATAAGGTTTTGATCCGCCGTCGCACCATAATTAGCAGTCAATCAGCTGCCTGATTAGTCTTCTTGTAACACTGCGTAATCTCTACCTCCCAATCTCTCTCACAGATAAAAGGAGAGTTAATGGGAATGCCATCCATTAACATGCAAGCCACTACTTCAGAGTCAATAGCTACCTGTATCTTGCGATGACCGCCATCCCAAGCCACCATCAAGCCTTGCATAACAGCCAACAATTCAGCCTTTGTACTAGTACATATTCCACATTTCATTGCAAAACATTCAAACAACTCACCGCTACTGTCTCTAATCAAACCACCAGTTCCAGCTCTTCCTGGGTTTCCTTTTGTCGCGCCATCAGTATTACTCGATTTTCATAAATAATGTACGAAGAAAAAACATAAACTAAAGTACAGTGCCCGTACGATATACGGTTGATACATAATATTAATCTCGTAGAAAAATGTTAAATAAATTAGATTTAGTGAGTACTAGTGGACTCCTTAACATTAATTTTTAAAAGAGAAATTATTAAGTTGTTTATGCATAGACTTGATTAAAGTTGGCTAACCCAAAAAAAATGTCCATTCTGATTAGGTCCATTCTGATTTTGGACTCGAAAAGCCTGCTCTTTTTTGCTTGAAATAGCGGGTTTAGACTAATTATTAATAGCTACACCTAAGTGTAGGCATTAATACTTACACCCCTCCCTACAAGCCTACATGACTACTATTAATACTATCGAGGTAAATATTGCTCTTTACCAAGAAGTTAATTACCCTATCTTGTTTTAGAGTATTCAGGGGCTACCTCCCTATGGTTTTCGGTTTCAAGAATGATATCCTCGCTAACATAACACAACAAAACAATAAAGAAGTCATCCTTGAAAAAGTTTTTAGAAAAGTTGGATTGCTAAAGAAATGAACAGACAAATATGTGACAAAGGATGCATTTGCTTTCCATTAACTGAAAGATAAAGTCCGAGCAACAATTGTACAAAGTGAAGAAAAGATTACCTCCGTATTCATACAATTGGAATAAAGGGTCGACATTCAATACATGCTAAGTAAACTATCCTATCGCTTGTTTACTAAGACAAGGGAAAACTAAGAAAGTTGTACAAAAGTGAAATGCTTCGTGTTGATTGATTTGATGATGTCTTCTTTCTGAAATTCTTCCTATATTTATAAGCAAATAACAACCATAATATCCCCCATGATCACCTATAACCACTGGTCGGTTATAAATCTTGGTGCCAAAACCTCATTTGAATTTATCTCCTAACTTCTCAAAACCCGGTTTTATTCAACCTTTTGAGCCTTCTCTTTAGGCTTTTGACATTCATCCTTAGTCAATCATAACTCTCTCAACGATGGGTTGTACTTTCACAGATAGAAACTCTTATTATAGTCAACTTTGTTGATCACACCCCTTGGTCATTGCAAATCAACGAAATTTTAAATTTGAGTGTGTAACAACTGCCCCCCTGATTTGTATGGTTGATAGCGTTTGAAATCGTACAAATTATAACTTAAACTTCTAAGAAGTATTGATCGAGTCATGTTAATGCTGCTATTTGAGAAAGAGAAGCACACTTAAATTACTTCATTAAAAATAACATATACAAAATAAAAGAACATTTGAAGAACATAGATCTCTTGAATTGTGAATGTTCTTCTTTGTAAAATAAAAGGGCTTAAATTTATACATCGAATATATTTATTGTGTAGCCATCAAAACTCATCATCATCACAGATGTTGTCATTTGCCGCCATCAACTTTGGACTATTGGGATAGCCTTCAAATCCATCATTGCTAGGCTCTACTAGCGACCAATTGACCTGCTGTTGAAGTCAATCTCATAATCCCAGTAGTAACATGAACACTTGTAATAGAGAGTGCAAATCCCTCCCTCAGACCCGCGAGTCACCTTGACTCGATAATAATCAATGACATAGACAATTAGCCTTTTTGTTAAACTTCAGTTGATAGTAAGAAGACAAACAACCCCAACCTCTCTTGCCCATCCCTTACAAACCAGGGCAGCGTCGGCTCTATCGCCATCATCAATCTTTGGAAGGATAAAATTCCTTACCAAATTAGCATTGCCACCCACATCAAAAGCATTGGGAACAGCAGGTCCTTGAGGATCTTCTATGATGGCTGAATTTTCACCCCATCACTTGCAGACTCTTCGACTTAGCTTGTTTCTCTTTCGATGCATATAGTTACGCCTTCATTTGGCGTACCTACCCATAGCCAAATGATGGTTAGGACAGTCATTGGTGTAGCTTAGAGTACCCATTTGTTCAGTACTACTTGGGGATGGTCCATAGCCACACCAGGCAACTGTAGCATAACCTCCTCTCCATTCAAGAAATGTTTTGATTCCTTGAAGATTTTCAAGATTGCCAAGGTTTATCACTTCAATTGTTAATAAGACCTTCTGTCATTGAAAAGGTGTGTATGGAAATTAAAGAGTTTTTGACTAAATTTCTAAAGAGAGGGAAAATGAAATGATGAAAGGATGATTAGAGATTAGAGAGAAAAAGTAATTTTTGAATTGAAGTTGCTAATGGAAAGAAGTAAAATAACTATAAGTATTTATAGTTACTTTTGTGTCACTGAACGATTTATTATTTCGTGAAGTTAAACGATTTTCGTTCTAATGATAAAAAAAAAATAAAAAAAAAAAAAAAAAATATATATATATATATATATGTTTTTAACCACGTTTAATAATCCATTTGATACATGCCCTTTCACTCCTTTAGTTTAGGAGGGATGTACTTAAACCGCTTCATGAAGCTTCCCTCAAAATATTGTGTATTTTCCAGGTTAATAATTACCTGACATTTAATTCTCATCAGAAACAAGAAATGACTTTTCATTTAAATATTAATAAATATTACTATCATTAACTTGGTAAATCGAGATAAAAATTATACTCCCTCTGTCCCTTATTGATAGTCTCTTATGACCAATTTTAAGTCTCAAAATGATAGTCCCATTTGATTTTTTTCAAGTACCATTAATATTAAATTTTTTACCAAAATTCCCTCCAATCTGCAACAATATGTGTACAAATTTAACTTCCCATATAAAATTTTACTTTTCCATGTATTTTAATTACTTTCTTTCTCTACTTTTTTGCATACCGAATGTAAATTTACCTTTCCAATGTACTTTTACTACTTCTTATTTATGTTTGTTAATTCCCATAAAAATTGTCCATAAAGAACTTTCATTAAAAGACAGAGGTAGTATTTATTACTCATATATTATAAGTTGGTCCAATAATATATATGTGTGGGTAATATTTAGAGTGATTTATAAAAAAATAAAAAGCATTGCAAGTCCAGTGCCTCCAAAATATTTATATATTGATAATAAGAACTTTACAAGAAACTCTTTTTTTCAAAGGAGCAGATTAATTAAGGTTGAGCAGTCAGATTCGATTACGATTCTTGTAAAACCTTCATCAAAGCCTCAAAAGGCATAAGATAAGCCAAAGTACAAGAGCTTGTTCCTGCATTTGTTCATTATTTTCTGTCTATTTTTATAAATTAATATTCTGAAAATGTATATTAAGATAAAATCTAACATCAACATACTAACCAATGTGAGACGGAAACCTACAGTTTACTCAAATTATTTACATACTAAGTAATTAAAAAAAAAAAAAGCATTTTAGGAGTTTAGACTCATGAAAATAACAAAGTAATTAAAAACCTAAATTAGGTATTCAGATTAATGAGAAATAACAATTAAGTAAAAAGAAAATTTATCAGATCAGTTATAAAGCACCCTTTCTTAGATTAGATATTAGTAGGGGTGGGACTTTTCAAACCGAACCGTGAAACCGCCCGTTACCGAACCGAACCATCGCGGACCGATCCGTTTATAAACCAATAAATTTAAACTGAAAACCGAACTGAACCGTACAATATCAAACCGAAACCGAATCAAACCGCTCAATGTCAACCCATTACGGACCGTAAACTGATAACAAACCAAACTGATCAAATTCGAACCGAAACGAAACCGAACCGATTGGTTTATAAACCCGTTAATGACCCGAACCGTTTATAAACCGAAACCGTTTAAACCGTAAAAAAAACCGTTTAAACCGAACCATTTGTAACCCGCTAACCGTTTAAACCGACCCGTTTATGAACCAAAACCGTTTAAATCGCAGGAAAAACCGTTTAAACCGAACTGTTATAATCCGCTAACCGTCTAAATTGAACTGCCATAACCCGTTAAAATCGAACTGTTTTCGAATTGCAACCTGTTTAAACTGATCCGATTACAAACTGCTTAATTCAAATTGAATTATTTACAACCTAAATGGCTAAATACAATTAATGTTAATAAATGTAGATCTAATCAAACAGCTTAGGTTTATACAAAGGTTTATATCACTTAGT